TACCATATATATATATATATATATATATATATATATATGAAATGATTTGGAAAATATTTGAACGGGTTTTTTCTGAATTTTTCCAGGCCTTCACATATGTAACTGGTCCAAAAATCCATTGAGCTTCTGGGGATTCAAAATTGGATCTCCCAGACCCTAATCTGAAGCTCTAACTGCTGTGCCATACTGGCTTTCATAGGGTGGCTGCTCTTTAACAGTACCAAGAAGCCAGGCCTAGATGAGTGATGCAAATCAGGAGGTATCAAGTTACCCAAAGACTGCCGTCACACCAATGCTTGCCAACCTCCAGCTGGAACCTGGAGATCTTCCATAATTTCAGCTGAACTCCAGACGACAGACATCTGTTCTCTTGGAGAAAATGGCTGCTCTAGAGGGTGGCCCCTATGGCATTATATTCAGCTGAGGCCACTCTCCTTCCCAAACTCCACAACAAAATCTCCAGGAATTTCCCAACCTGGAGCTGGCAACCATAACCTCAGGTCTGGCCCCAAATAATCCTGCCCCCCCCCCAAAAAAGATCTGGAAAGAACCTGCTCTGAATAAACTGAGTCTTCTTGTAGAATCCTTCTAGAATCCTACTAAATAAATCTTAGTATCTGTCAAAGGAAGCTCTGACTCTCAAAAGCTTATACCCTGGAAATCTTGTTGATATTTAAGGTGCTGCTGGATTGAATGCTGCTCTCCTACTGCAGACCAACACAATTACCCATAACTCATGAGAAGTGAAGAACCTTGGCCCGTTTTTACTTGTAGATTTTTCCAACCATATTTAACTTTTCTTCAGGATGCATTGCTCTGTTTTTTTGTACAGTAAAGAGGAGACACGTAATTCTTTGAACTCTGAACAACAAAAAGGAAACAAGGCAGCTTCAGTATTTAAGATTCTTGAATCTCATTAGTAAACCAAGCCTTTAATCCTCCTACTCCCAAGCTTTCACCATAGTTCTTAATGGAACAGCAGACAACAGGAATACAAACAGTATCCACACAGTGAAGATGCTCACCATTAGAAGGTACTCCACTGCCCTGTCAGGATTGTTGAAGCTGGCTCTCAATGCAGCAATCACTTGCTCTCGCTCATATCCCATTGACATGATCTCCGTCACCATATTTTCATAGGACTGACCTGTCACTGAGAAGGTGAAAGCAAAACAGTGGAATGGGAAAAATGGTAGAGAAGCTTCGTTTTTATACAGTCTGTCTGAACTTTATTTTTTCAATGAAACAGAAGTGACAAAACAGGCTTTCTATTTGGTACTCATAATGGTGACAAGTCATAATGCTCTCTTTCATCTCTGGTTGCTAAGCCTATATGCAATTAACATTAATAACTAGGGGCATGCATTCAGTTCTGCCCGAGCCAAAAACAAACGAAAAATATCGGTATTTTTCGGGTATATTTCAGCTCCCCAAATGTATCCAGGTTTTCTTGGGAAAACTGCCAAAAATATCCTAAGAAAATCCCAGACATATTTGGGGATTTCAGGTAGATCTGAAAACAGCGGAGAGATGGGAGCAAATTGCTCCCGGCTCTCAGTTGTTTATTGGGCAGGCTTATGCAGTCCCTTTAAACTTTAAAGGGACTGCAGAAATCAGCCCAAGGATCAGCTGGGGTGGCAGGGAGCTGAGGGCTCCCCACCCAGCCCCGTTACCAGTAATTTTTTTCGGGAGGGGGTGCTGGGCATCACTAATTTAAAACCCTCTAATGCACAAGTTTAAAACCCTCTAATACACAAGCCTGAAAATTGGTACACCAGGCAGAAGCCAAACTGTTCAATTATTTTTGCCACTTTTGAACCGCTGAAACTCCAACACAGAAGCTGGTCAGGTAAAACAATGAAGGACCTGCTGACAAGTCTAAACTACTTCAGCAGGATGAGGAGGGAGGAAGGCTCAGATCCGAATACTACAGATCCATGAGAACCAAATAATTTTATCCCTCTGTTCCTCCAAGGAGCCTAGGCCAACATTATGTACCTTTCACTTCACCACAATTTATCCACGGAACTCTGGAGCAGGTTAGGCTGAAAGTATGTGACTGGCTCAAGGTTACCCAAAGAGCTTCATAGCCAAGTTGGGATTTAAATTTAGGCTGTGTTGGTTTTATTCCACCCACCCACCATGCAAACAGAATGAAAAAGAGGGAAAAAAGCCCTAACCAGCCTCATCCTTTCCTTTATAGCTAAATGTTCATATAATTAGTGACTACAACTTTTAGGCTTAGCATCCATATGTTCAATTCACTGCTTCTGCCATATCACCTTCAGTGCCCCACAGTTCCATCATGTCCCACCACAATCACTCAATTCCCTCTACTTCCCGGCCTGAATAATCTGCATGTTGCCCATGCTCTAATCCTCCGATCACACTGCTCACCATATGGCAGCTGCTGTACCCTTCTCCCAGAATGACACCTCCCAGTGAGGGATGGAAAGGAGGAATGGGTAACCCTCCTTTACCCTTTTAACTTTCGTGCTAGGAAATCTTGCTCTAAGCACACCCATTCAGATTTCTTCTACTTGGTACCCTGCAATGGCCTTTCCCTTAAAGCAACTTTCCAGTTCTTAAGAAAGCAATTAGTATGCAAATGTTCAATGCAAAATCCTGTATTTCCATTATGAATGCCACCTTGAACACCTACCACACCCCCTTTTCAATAAGCAGAAAAAAATGCAAAATATATTATAATGAGTTAGATCTTTTTGAAGATCCAGATCTGAATTGAAGCTTGTATGCATGTTCAGGAAGCAATTTTCTGCCACCCACACTATTCCATAGGCTGAAGGAAGTATTCCCAAAAACAGATGTACAAATCTTTGCCTACTATATATTAACAACAATACTGCAGGTAGCTGCAGCAAAACAAACTGAAGAGGAAACTAAAAATCAGGGAACACTGGGAGTTAAACTGCCTAACCACAGGAGCATAATACAAGGCAACACTAACAAGGGAAAACTCAATGACAAGGTAGGCTTAGAAAATGGGAGAATTAGATGAAAGATAAAAAGGAATACTGTTTCTGTTCAAAGCCACAATGCAAAATGCTAGACATGGGCCAATATACAGCTTCCGGAGTCCCTAATAAGTATCCCAACAGAAATTGCTAAGGAAGTTCAATACTGTCATTCAATTTCAAAAACAGGCACTTCTCAAAGTGATGGAATTATATGAAAGATGAAGAGCATAATATGAAAGATAAAGGGTCGGAACCTTTTAGAAAGACTGAAAAGTATAACAGAAGCTGAAATAAGTGCATACTATGGATTAGGAAAACTGAAAGAAACGCAGTTTAGATTAAACAGCAGAAGAAATGATAAACTGCTAAAAATTAAGGAGATGTATTGTCCAAAATAAAAAGCAATGCAGACTTTCAGACCAAGTTTTCAATTTATGATTGGGCCAAAATTAAGAAATAATAATAATTTTTTTTGGGGGGAGGGGGGGATCAGGGAATCAGCTAAACAAGCAGTGAGATTGCTGAACAAAGCAGAAGAATAAAAGAAGTACTGAATTGCATTCTTTGCAGAACTCTTCAGTACACAAGATATTTGAGAACTATTAGCTGTTTTCTGACAGAGTACTGAAGACAAAAAGAATTAAAGCTTTAGAATTAACAAATCAACAAATAATTAAAAAAATAAAAAAATTAGCAAGTGATATCCACTCTTAAAGAGGTCTTAAAGAATTCAATTTCTGCCTGAAGGTCAAGCACCAACTTGTCACCCACACTATTCCATAGGCTGAAGGAAGTATTCCCAAAAACAGATGTACAAATCTTTGCCTACTATATATTAACAACAATACTGCAGGTGGCTGCAGCAAAACAAATTGAAGAGGAAACTAAAAATCAGGTATTAGTATTTCCCAAGGATCAGGTATTAGTATTTATATCAGGTATTAGTATTTCCCAAGGATCTAAATTGGTACTATTATTACAACTTACTCCTATCTGACTTAGAGAGGTAGGGCAGCCCATTATTCAAGGCAGTAAAAATTAAAAGACGAGGAATCTAAGATGATGACAAGCAAGAAGGGCCATGAATGGGTCTCCAACGTTTTTTTTTCTTAGCAAGGAGCAACTGTGGAAGGCCCCAATTCAGATGAAAGCTGTGGCCTAGGGAAGGAGAACTTTAACATTCCCCTGTGTCATCCTTATGATGTCCAGTGCCCCCCCAATGATGCTTGCCCTGTAACTAGTGCATTGCCATAATTGCTATTTCCCTCTGGTATGGTATGTACATGCAACAGTGAGCAAAATCAGAGTACCCAGGGCAAAAATTATGTCCCTGTATTCAGTTGTGATCACTTTCCTGACTAGAATGATTTTAAAAAGAAAAAAGTCACGGTTAGCCAGAGGACAAAGTGTCACAACAGGTGACTTCACCTTCACATTGACTGGATAATTGCACAATGGAATTGCATCAGAGACAAATTTTGAGATATGATAAACAACCATGCCTTACAATTAGTAATGGAGCCAGCTAGAAGGAGTACTACCCCTGGAAGTAAGAGCAGTGTTCCAGGTCTGATACATGGTGTTGTAACACAGCTCTATTAAAGGCTATATGTACCTTGTGTGTGTGTGTGTGAAATTAAAAGTTGCTCATAAACCTAAATTAAATTCTGTTTCAACCTGTTTATTTACTGTCTCCTGGAAGTAAGAGCAGTGTTCCAGGTCTGATACAAGGTGTTGTAACACAGCTCTATTAAAGGCTATATATAAATATGTGTGTGTGTGTGAGAAACGAAAAGTTGCTCATAAACCTACATTAAATTCTGTTTCAACCTGTTTATTTATTGTCTCCTGGAAGATATTTTAGTTTCTTAACAGCAGTGCTGTCAGGTAAAGGTGTGCAATGGGGATTTTTAGGAGAGTATTCTGTTTCATTTTTCTACTTGTGGCTGTTTTTATTTTTACACTTTATATTGTTGTTTCTTCTATCCCGCTGCCTTTATATATTTTACCTTTCATACAGAATCTGTTTTAGTCTGCTGTCTTAAAATACAATCATAACACACTGCATTTTTCGTTTCAGGGATAAATTTCTATGCTGTGTTGTTTTTTGCAAAAATTTATTTTATGGCAAGCCATCCTGGATGCTCCCCTTTGGGGATGTAAGCGCAGAGCAAGGCTCAACTAAATACCGTATTATTGCCTTTCAGGCTGCTTTGAGTTTCATGGAGGGAGAAGACAAGTCAGGTAGACTCATTGGCTTTGGAAACAGCAGCTGCTGGCCTGGCAAATGGCAAGAAGTGGTTGGAACAGTGGTGCTAGATAGCAATCGTCTACAGTAACAACCTATGTTTCTGGCTCGGAATTCTACCCCACATTGGCTCTGGCTTCTTCCCTTGTGCTTCGGGCAAAGGTTGCCTAGTAGTTCAGCTCCCCCCCCCTCCCCTGGAGAGAAAAACCTCCAAAGCCCTAAGGTTTTACAGCAATTTAACTCATTAGCCATAGTTTTTATGAGTCTGCGGACATTTTAAACAGGGAAAGATGAAGATGTCGCTGCTGGATTGGTGATATAACAGGCTCTTGGAAGTGTTGCTTCCTTACTTACAGAAAGCACTGTGATGGGGGGAGGGGCAGTAACAGTGCACTCCCAAGCAGAGTTAAGTCCTTCTAAGCTTACTGATTTCAATGGACTTAGAAGAGTAATTGTTTTGGCTTATCTCTGCCTTTGTTCAGATGTTTGCTGGGAGCAGTAAAAACCCAGCCTCTTGCCTTTTTAAATCGGGAACAATGCTACCTGCAAAGAGTTACAATGCAAAGAGGTATAAAAACGGAATTTTTCTGTCTAGTCTATATTGTTTGTTGTATATTGATTACTATGCAATAAAAACCATTGTTTATATTGCTACTTTTTTTTAGAAGGGCTTGTTTTAAATTCAGGGTCATATGCTTTTATGTATAACCTCCTCTTTTTTTTAAGGAGGGATCAACTTACATTCAAGGCTATCTTCCTTTTGAGTAAATACACTAAATGTAAAAACTTTAGCAGAGGTGAAAGAGTTGAAGTATGAAACTTGAATAGTAGTTACTGGAGTCCAAATAGCCCGATTAAGTTTCCCAGATGCCAATGCTCACAAGACACAGTGATGCAAGCTTCTAAAATGGAACAACTTCCCTGATTTGACAAGGCATTACACACCCAGTCACCATACATATATGCAGCTTGTGCCGAAGCTCATGGCACTGCCAGAGAAATCAACTAAAGATGCAAAGACTGTTGGTTCAAAAAGAATACAGACAATTCTATGTGAACTCAAGTACTTGCCATATAAAAACGAACAGCCATTAAAAGTGGCATTTAAAGCCATAGTTGTTGAATTATGACACTAACTTCATTGACTGCAAAAGAGGATGCAACATGTGATCTTTTAATCTTTCATAATAAATCCTTTCCAACTGTTGGAACACTTACCAAGTGCAC